TAACCAGCCTGACTGTGCCAGGATCACCCAAACCCTCTGTGCTGCATTTTTTATTTTAATCTGTACATGGTAATTATAATGAAATCAAACTTTATCAGAGAATATCAAGCAGATTAAAGTTGTATTTGTCATATGGATTGATGAAATAAAATGACATTTCCTGTTGACAAGTTAGACATATGTACTGTAGAACTGCTCAAATGTTGTACAAGGATACTACCGCGACCATTTCTTGTCATGTGACAGATAATTGATACATTGTTTTAAGACATTTTCTAACAATTTTATCACACATCAGTACAAATGCAGCCCAAAATTATTGGCACCTAAATAACATTTGTTAAGCAATGAAACATATCCAATTTGGCATTATAATGTATATATTCAGAAATATTCAACATTCCAAATCGCATTAAATATGTTAAACGTGTTGAGAGAACTAAGTGCGCGATGTGCGCCTGGATTGATACTGGTGTGGGCATGTATCTTGTTGTTCAACACACAAGGCCACAACAAATAGATTATTTGTTTCTCTCATTAACCCAAAAGTGTTAGTCGCCACAAACTATTACATCCTGACCAATATAACTATACTTTCTGCGCCGTCCTTTCCATCCATGAACCTTCGCTTGTTATTTGAAATATGGAGTCATGAGTAATGAAAACATACATGTTAGTTTATGAACTACAAAATAGTGGTTAATAAACGATATGTAAAAATGAAGTACTATCAACTTCAGATAACTTATAATTGATGTGAATTTCTTCTTTATTTGATCTTGTGCAAAAGGAACAGACATTGAATGGAAAGCTTTCCTATTCCGACCAATTAACAACCTTTTTTAATAAAAGCGTCTAAACAGTTCGATAATCATCGGGCTTTTCTACGTGTGAGTTTGTTTGTTTTGTTTGTTTGTTGTTTAACGCCGAATTCAACAATATCCCATCTATATGACGGCGCTCTGACAATAATCGAGTCTAGACCAGACAATTCAGTGATTGACATCAAGAGCATCGATCTACGCAATTGGGATACCATGACATGCATCAACCATGTCAGCGAGTTTGACCACCCGAGACTTATTCTAACCCGGAACTTCACAGGCATGAATTTATTTGAAGAACAATAATACCGTACCATGCGCAAGTGAAATATATATTTGGCAGCCTTTATGCAGACACATATAACTGATGCAGATAGCATGCATTCAATTTACCGACTATTAACACACCATTTACATCATTACATGTCCGATTTCAGATGTCAGGACATGTCAGCATCCATATGAGAAAGTGAGAGGGCGAGTTTTGTCTATTACCGTATTGAGCAGTATATATGTTACATCAAGGCGTGTCTGTGTAAGAGAATCAGGTCACTCCCCTTAGGATCATCATCACCCCCCCTTTCCAGGATGAAAACAATCCCTAGGATGAAAACACGCCCCAAGTGGAATTGATTGTTCCCTGAAGGGAGTGATTCGAACCTGAGAAGGAAGTAATTTGATGCTGAGATAATTTCACTCCAGTGTGTGTCAGTTCTATGATCAGGTCACTCCAGAGTGATTCTATCCTTCAAATGATCAAAATGATATTTGAAGGGAGTGATTTAATCCTGCCACACCGATCCCGGCGTGCCAGCTTGAAGTGGGAGGAAACCCCGAAGAGACGCAGAAAGTGTAGACATTTACCACTTTACCCACGGGCGAACCTGGATTTCGAGCCCACGACCTTAGGTTCCATTCACTTTTTATATTTGCATAAACATGAGGCATAAATTTTCAAACATATCCCAAGAGAGTATATACTCACACGCAAAAGAAACGCAAGTCGAGTTTGCAGTATACATGTTATTTATTTTCAACAGAAAAGAGAAGAAATACTAAGAAGGCAAGATTGACAAAAATTGACTGAAGACAGTTTAATGAATTAAAAGGCAGATGACATAATTGGTTTTTTTCAAATGTTAATGGCTTACACAGTTTCGGGTCAATACCCAAAATGTCAGTCAATACCTGGTGTAACCACCATTATCATTGATCACTGCCACACATCTCCTGTACGTTGAGTGGATCAGACGATTTGTGAAGGCCCTAGGGATCATCCTGCCCACATCCAGAACAGCTGTGCGTAGATCATCGGCAGTTGTAGGGACTGGGCGCACATTGTGCCTACGCCTTTAAACCTCATCCCACAAGTGTTTGATGGGGTTCAGATCAGGGCCGAGGGCTGGCCACGGTAGAACACGGATGTTGTGTTGTTGCAGAAAGGCCATGGTAGCTCTGGCAACATGGGGACGAGCGTTCTCCTGCTGGAAAATGTGTTGTTGATGTTGTGCAAAAAATAGAACAAAGTGGGGTCGGATCACTTGGTCGATATACCGCTGAGCAGTGACGCCGTGTCCCCGACCTTGACCAGCATTTAAATCTCATTAAAATCAGATCTTAGTTCTCGCTACCGCTAAACAAGGATCTGAGGACATCCCATTACGGGTCACGTCAGACCGACCTTGCGCAAACTTTGACCGACCAATGGAATGACCAATCAGAAGGCAGCTTTCTCATGCTTTACGGCACAAATTTCAAATTGGCGACTACGCTTCGAAGCATATTTTGACAAATTCTCGATTACAAATTTGAAACCTGAACAAAAAAACATTCTGGAATGACTAATAGATGGTCTAGCTTGTAAGGATTCTGTCGTTAAATCCGTAACTATCGTTCGGAATACCCCATGTTAAAGTTTTCGAGATTGCATGATTAGAAATCACATTCCGACTGTCACTTTCATAGTCTGGTAAGCGACGCACTGATTGGTCGGATGAAAGGTCGTTCTGACGTGACTCCTAATGGGATATCTTCAGATCTTTGTTTAGCGGTAGCGAGAACTAAGATCTGATTTTAATGAGATTGACCAGCATTCAGAAAGCACATAGGTCCAAGTCTCGCATGAAGTCCAATCCCTGCCAATATCGACGCCGCCAAATTCTGACTCTTCCGTCTGCATCGGAGACACAAAAGCGACTTTCATCAGAGACGATGACACGCATCCACTCACGATGACGCCAACTGCGATGACCCTGTGCCCACTGAAGTCGTGCTTGTCGATGCCGTGGTTGGAGAACAGGATTACGTGCTGGTCGGCGACATCTGAGATTGTTGGAACGGAGACGTCGGATCACAGTGTCCCGGCTAATGTGTCGATTATGAGTTCCTATGGTCTGTCGAGCACTTTCACTTGCAGTTAGGAACGGATGTCGCTGGTGTTGACGGGTAAACTGCCGATCTTGTCGAGGTGTGGTGACCCTAGGACGACCGCTCCGAGGAAGGTCATCTGTGGTCTCTGTAGCATTGTATCGATGCAGGAGACGGTAAATTGTGGTGTTGTTAACGTTGAAATGACGGGCAACATCTTGGACAGACTCTCCAGCTTCCAAACGTCCGATAGCCTGGTTTCTCTTAATTTGAGTTAGGCGTGGCATTGTTGACCAAGGAGTGGTAGGTCCAAGAATCGGCCACAGTTTTATACCTACTACAGTTCGTGACAGTTCGTGCAATTTCGATTTCGCGAGAAATGGGTGCATGATACCCACATATTCATTGAAATGGTGCGTTTTGGCGATTAGTTTCTTATGTTGCGTTTTTACTCGGGGCTTCCAAAATGCAACCAAAAATATTGATAACACCCTCAGGCTTCACTACATGCTAAAACTCGTATCAATTTATGGTTCCGTGTTTGTTACCTATTTGCTTAAAAACACTTGCTTTTCTTTTGCGTGTGAGTATATTTTTACAACAAACCTACAATGTGAGGTCACTTTTTAATTACAAAGTTTAAATATAGGAACGCCGCTTTTCCGACACACTTTCAGTATTTCATTGCAAGTGCAACTTGGTATCAGTATATATTTTGTTCGAGAAAAAGAACATTTCGTTCAAACTCGCGATTCGTAATTTATGAACTAACATGAGCAATATGTAGGTCCTGAGAATATACAGATTTCATTCATATGAATAAAGTGATGGTTTCGGCATAATCCAAATTCATCAATGTATAAAACAATACTACGTACTCAAGTAAACGCGGACATTTTCAACAAATATCAATATTTAACATTAATTTCATATAGTAAACTTGATTACCGGATTTAGTACTTGAGAATGATATTGGGTAATAAAGAGAATCTCGCCCTCGTGTCTTTTTATGTTGGTCTGTCAAAATATTTACATCAACGCTCATTAGTAAAGTAGAAAACATCATTTGCACAACCGCGGAGTTCTACTACTTTTATCGACTCGTGTTCATATATTGGATATCCAAAGGCATTCTGGTAAGATTCAAATGCATGCATTGGAACACTCAGTGCCAATTGGGGAGATAAGAAAAACAGTAAACGATATTGAGTCATGAGATAAGAAAGGATTTAAGTTATATAATCTGATATGAGTTTATTCGTTTTTGATGTTACAGTTACGTTTTTTGTACAGTCAGTAAATTAATATCAAACATTGTCAAGGCATGGTTAGATATCAAACAAGAATATTTTCAATTTAAGCATACATAAGGAACATTATGCATACATAAGGAACATATTTGCATCCTTCATAAAGAATAAGTATTATTACTGTCAGCCTTATAGTTACTTGATTTTCTTTGTATAAGATAATGTTGAAATAGAAGTGTCATTCAATGTCCCACGTTATATAAAGCAGTAGCTGGTGTTAACTGACTTGGTTATTATTTTGATCTCCTTGATTTACATTACATAGAGTGGAAGCTATGTGCGTCAACTCATGTAAAAAAATGATAATGTAACAGTTAAACAATGAAGAGTTGACTTCTGGATGTCAACCTCTTTATTCCTTCAAAAGCATATCAGCAGTATCTTCATTGATACTACAGCTGGTAACACAGTGCTTACTTAAACATGGTGGGTTTAAGCAGCCTTCCAGAATTACCAAGTCTACTTTTCACTTGTTCACTGAAGTATGCCGGGGAGTGTTTGCATTGTGATACCTGCTGAATGTATGGCGTGCAACAACATGACCGTGTGTATCGATTGTGCGTAACTACAACGCGCGAAGTCGTATGGATATCAACAAAGCTTATGAGTTCCGGGAAAGCTCGTCATTCATACTTCCTAGAAATGCTCTCGCGTGAGCAATAACAGAGAGGATTAACCCGTACAAGTCAACACCGTTATGGTGGAGTTCTTATACTGTTGTGTCCGTATAGGGTGTCAGACACTTCTCAGACAGATAAAACTATCAATTATTGTTCTCTTGTGACACGTTCATGTTACGTATATTTTCTATGTATGAAATGATCAATGACTGATATAGGTGTTTTTATCACTTCACGGAAATATATCGACTGCAAACGCGACAGTGTCACGTGATATTGTATTGATAGTTACACTCAACCCCGATGGTGATACTGAGGTCATCTTGACCGTGGCACAAACTTACCTGTCGAGAAGTTAACGATCGTGAGTATTGATTTCATTTTAACTTTTGGGCTACATAAATGCTGAATTTTCTTAACGGATGAATCTCAGGGTATTACTTTAAGTTATTTAAATCCTTCTTGTAAAACTAGCTGCAGTCAAGCGTAGAGCCGGCCATGTTGGAGTTAGCTCTTTGTATTGTCGTTGAAGGAACAAACTAATACATACATATATCGTCATTGTAACATACGCCAGAAACGTCACGGTATCGACACTTACAGGTAACATTTTTTGTACTTATGTGTTTCTAATATTTTGATAATGTAAAATTTAAATTACTAGTAGTTTATAAAAACATTTCCCCTTAAAACACCAGTACACCTCAAACCATAAGGAAACACATATGGTTTAACAATATCGCAAATAGATTTTTAACTCCCATTCAACGTGACATACTTGTACCCATAGTAATAAAGTAAACAATTAAGGTGTTTGATAATAATACCAAATATTAGGAAGTTAACAATTCAAGAATTTGAATATCGAAAATATTTGTAAAGAATGATAATGTATGTTAGTTCATTGTGGATTAGTTTTGCATACAAACACAAACAACTTTATATCATAGACATATAATATGTTTGTTATTTCAGACCATAACTTATAATTTGCAATGGACTAAGGAAAAACACAAGTGATACTGTTCAGCCGAAGCATATAGCGATGTATTTGAGTATTTTATAGTTGTTTATAGCTTATTATATTTTAATCAGGGTCAATCAGTGTGAAACAAATAAACCGTGCTTCAACATCTACGTCGGTATTAAAGGACAGTTTGCTGCATGCCTGGGTTCTGTAATAATCCATACTTTCGAATACTTTAACGATTATTTCCTTCAAACACTAGAATTGTAACTCTGACAGCCTACGACATACATGTACGTATGCAAGGCTCGCAAGCCTTTAATCATAACTGCAAATGTAGTAATAAGGCACATGTTATATAAAAACTAAATGGCTATCTAATGGAAATTGAAGAACGTTGTTGTAGCTGTTGTTACAAACTGTGCTCTGGACTGAAGATTTAGTTAATTATAAGGTATTTTAATTCTTTTCCGAACATATGACAGACACCCTTTATTGCATAAAATGTAGTTTAACATGGAAAAAACTATGGATTGATGTCAGGCAGACGAGAAACTTATCGACGATTCGGAGGAACATCATGAAGAAGATGGTGTTATCTTACTGCTCTGAACGTTTCTCGTTTGATAGCGGATTTATTGATCATGACAGTTCACATTAGGGTTGTTGTTGTTGTTGTTTTAAGACAGTCACATACATGGGATTTGCTGATATTTTATTTACAAACGGGGAATCTCTTCCGGAAAGCAAGCACTTCCTGGTCACAAGTCTTTTCTGTAGGTGTCTTATAATAATTGCATTAAAATGTAATTTCACGTCAGCCATTCAAACTCGCGGAAAATAGGATAACGCATGTAGTATGTGTGATGATTTATCGTGTGACAAGACATATCCCCAGATACAACATACTTATTGTAGGTGGCGGACAATGATGAAACAAACGTATATCTGAAACATTATTTTAAGTACATCATGAATACTGATTTGTACACAAAGCCTATATAGCTACATTTATTATCTTCAAGAACCCAAAGCCGTCAAATAAAAATAAAATAGATGTATAAAAAGTAACATGCCGTCTCTTGCATCAGGTAAACATTTCATGCCTAATAACTCGTGTGTCCAAAGATAAAATGCTTCTATATGTCTCTATGCGGTACAACATATGTTCAGCACATTTTTTCATTCATAAATCTATCAAGGTTAACCCAGTAATTGATCTGCTGATTTGTCATTTCTCGCAGTTTCAAGACTTCATCACTTTCAGGACTTCGTTAAAGGTACAAATATTTGTGGAAACATGTATACAACTGAAGATATAATTTTATTAAGTAAACAACACTGTTTTCTATAATTGCACCTTTCTTCAAATACATTCAGATAAGAATAGGTCCTTATAACCTCGAAGTAAAAGGCGACTTAATGGATCGCGTTGTTAGGCTCGGTGACTTTGTTGTCATGGAACCCCGACGACGGGGATATCAATTCAAACACTAAATTGTATGTTCATTACCGATTAATTCCACACCGACGTCATATAGCTGGAATACTGCTAAGTGCGGCGTTAAACCAAACAAACAAACAGATCATGCTCAAATGGAGGGTTTAGTTTTCATTATACACCCAATTAGGTGATCATGTGATCATATTATTACAAAAGTTATGATCGGAGAACTTGTAATTATATAATTGCATACAATTTTATAAAGACCATCACTTGTAATTCGAGAACGTCTCGGGATATTTCGTATCTCTATCACAAAAAAGGGAACAAACACTAAGCAAATTTCAAAAAGCTATACCACCAATGAATGTGGAGTTACAGTCAGGTGTTCGAGAGGCATACACCATAATAATGTTTATGGATGCACGTTTTCGACAGCAGGTGGACACGACTGGAGAAAATAATTCTCAAGTTGTTCCAATGCATAAATTTAAATTAGTTTCCTTATCTCCTTGGGGCGGTGGGGTAGCATAGTGGCTAAAGCGTTCGCTTGTCACGCCGAAGATCCGGCTCGAATCCCGACATGGGTACCATGTGTGAAGCTCATTTCTGGTGTCCCCCGCCGTGGTATTTCTGGAATATTGCTAAAACCGGCGTAAAACCATACTCACTCACTCCTTATCTCCAAAGGTATCACACTTCAGAATGGACCCGGATAAAAGGCAACGACTGCGCAAGAATCATGTAAAGTTGAAAGATAACCTCCAGGCTCTCCCTCTTGTGGACAGATTGTATGAAAAAGGCGTACTCAGCGATGATGAATGTGACACTGTTCGATCACTGTCGCCACAGTCGGAGCAGATCCATTGCGTCCTGGAATATATCAAGAGGAAGGGAAATCATGGTTACATGGTGTTTTGTGACATTCTTCAGACATTAAAGCCTGAACTATACATACTTCTACAAGAGACACAACTCGACCAAGGTAACTGATGGTCATACTCTCGTATTTAACGTTCCATGTATGCCTAGCACCTAGTGACAAAGAATTTATGTACACTTATTCTAAATTTGGTGTTATATTTTCATATGTATTTTTAAAATTAATCGTGCTTGTTTACTAATTAAAAACTGAAACATGATTACAATGTATAGCGCCCATAATAGGCACTGTATTAGCCATGAGAATGATTACTTCTTTCATTCTTAATCAGATATCACAGGAGAGAGGACTACGGACAACATCTTTTTCAACCCGTCTGATGATTTTGAACTGAGATCTTTGATAGACCAAATTACATGTGACAACAAAATCAAATCTGAGCAACTTGACAGAATGAAGCATTTCGTGATAGGTTAGTACATATATCCATATTCTACTTGTCGTAATCAACATGGGGAACGTTAGCATATTTTATAATATGCTATTTGACCGCGTCGTACAAGTTAAATTACAAATATTTGTATTTGAACAGTCCGTGTTCTTGCCATTATTGAGACGATGAGATTTTACGAGCGCATCCTTTTGAGAGATTCAAACATCTCTTATCGCCCCTGAACAAACAATAATTCCCTTTGTAATATGTAATTCCCCTTTGTAATATGTAAAACATGTCAACGTCTTTCAGAAGGTCTCAGGGCATGTAGATTGTAGCGACACACTTATTTTAACAGGAGAAAATGGATGCCCAGAGGAGGTAATTGAGAAGTTCACCACTCCAGCCAGATTCTTCAGACACCTCATGACAACACAAATCCTGAATCGGTACAACTTGACGTTTCTACAGGCACTGCTATGGCGTGTTGGTCTCAGGACGCAATGTAATGCTGTAGCAGGTTATGCACGATCAATGGTCAATCAACCAATTCATTTCTTCACTCCAAAAGAGAAGCCAGGTAGGACGACAAGACATTCACTGTGCTATATGACATTATCGTCTCAACTATTCGGAGAGTAGTACACTATTTCTTTAAAAAAACAAAACACTATTGTACATGAATTATGCTGAGGTAGTAATTTGGGGCAAACATTTGATTTTACCTGTTGTGCACTATTCATGAATTCTGAAGGAATTTTTTATCATACATGTTTGTATCATCTCACTGGATTGTCTGATTATGTGCATGCCGACGTGTGGCATAAGCTTTGCTGGGTGCGGAGTTGAGAAGCTCAAAACGATTCCGCCGACACCTCGTGTCATCACTGATTTTCAGTGATGCATTCATATAATTGTCTTCACTGTTGTTTTTTCCTTTTACGCCTAATGGAATCTGTTTCAGCAGGTAATAGAGACTGATTATTCTCTGGTGTAGACGCGTTTTAAAAGTCCAATCATTAATTCTTATGGTTGTTATGTAATGGAAGACTGATAATAATATGATCAATATAGATTTGTTTTGAGTTTTTATGTTTATGAGGTTATATTTCAGAAAATGGATTTGCCTTTTCCAAATTCCATGTCAAAGGAAGCCTTGAAACTTTCAAAAGCATCTCAATAGAAGACATATGTTCCCGTGTCTCCAGATATGTAGGGGTGCCACCGTCCTGTGTGATACCGGCAGGCGTCGAACCTTCTGAGAGCATCATAATCACCATCATGTTACCTGTAGAGGCGGCTGACTTCCTGGTACAGATTGATGACTTCACCTGGCTCACGGACATGAGAGTGGATTATATCATTCATAAAAGGAAGGTCACCATATCAAAAGGTTGGATGTCTTTGCAGTTATTAAATTTTGTATTCTCGCAAACACTGCTCATGGAGATTTGGTATCAGTACCACTTATTGTTGTGTATATTTTCTGTCGTAACTATATCTTTACCTTCCGACACATTATTGTATCAACATGTCATCGATTCACTCCCCCGCCATGAAGTGCTGTAAATGATTTTGTAACAGAGTTACGGCCCTTGATCCATGTTATTTTATTTGGTGCAATGGGAACAAGTTTTCTCAGAAACTACTGAAGTTTCATGAATGAAAGTTACGTGCTTATGTAAGAGCTACCTGTCAAGACTGAGTTCGTAAATTAGTTCCGCAAATTATTTCTGTACAGAGTTACGGCCCTTGACCGATGTTATTTTATTTGGTACAAATGGGAGCAATGGGGACTACTACTGTAGTTTCGTGAATGAAAGTTTGCATGCTTATGTAAGAGCTACCTGTCAAGACTGAGTTCGTAAATTAGTTCCGCAAATTATATCTGTACAGAGTTACGGCCCTTGACCGATGTATTTTTACTTGGTGCAATGGGGACTACTACTGTAGTTTCGTGAATGAAAGTTTGCATGCTTATCGAAGAGATGCTTGTCAAGACAGAGGTCCAAAATTGGTCCTGCAAATTATTTCTGTACACAGTTACGGCCCTTGGTCCATGTATTTTATTTGGTACGTGTGCTGAAGTTAGCCTATCAAGAGTTATTTTTTCCATAGAAGGGACCTTTTGTGTGTATTAATTTCACATTTCATATTTTTTTATTGATAACATAAAGCGGCCCAGGTGCCTATTTCTTCTTTTGGCTTTAGTGGATTCTTTTTACAGTTTATATTTACTACTATATAAACAAAGAAAATTCTAATGAGCCCCATGACAGGGGATAGTGATGGCGCTCTTTTCTTGTTTTGAGTACATTAAACATGAGATATTCTTTGTCAGGGAATATCGGCGACACTAAAGATAATTCGGAAGTCCGACGATTACAAGAAGAGTTGAGAAACCACATGGAATCAGAACAAATGGTGAAGCACTGTCTATGGGAGACGCAGATGTCAAATGAAACGTTGAAGGACATGCTGCAAGAAGAGGAAAGGGGTCTTCAGAAAACCAAAGTCACCCTGACAGAACAACAGACATGGAACAACAGGCTCTTTCATGCTTTGATGGTCAGTTTGCAATTCCAGGCACAACAAATATCATGCATAAGAGCTTTACCTCACTCGCGAAACGTCCAATCCTTTAGTGGAAAGCAGTTCCGAGATAGGTTTGCAGCAGCTGTTGAAAGGGCAAAACGATCTTCTCAGGACCATCGTGCCATTGAGGAGCTAATTGAAGCTGTACAACTACTTTCGTGGAACTCCGGGAGAACGGAAATTGACAACCTCAAGGCAACATCGATGGTGTCCCTGCAAGCCGTTCAAAACAACTTTAATGATGTCGTCGCCTACAGGTCCGCTGCGTTGAGCCTTGTCGGCCTGGAAGCACTCGATCTTGAAGTGTTGAGGTCACACATTATCGCTGTCCACATGGTTTTTGGTATGTAGCTTCACATTGATTTATGGATGTTACAAGCGTACATCATATGACAGTATGATTAAAAACGGGGGCGAAAATAAGTTAGTATGTGTTAAAACATTTTTGGTTCTGTATGTGTCTCCACCAGTTGGCTTTTTGCATGTGCTAATTTTGATATTCCTATGCAATCCGCGTCTCGCAAAATTGTGACTTTTGTTATTTATTTTACAGGCCTACTGTTTCTTGACGCATTATTGCAGGATATTGTGCATGACTTTGGAAAGCGAATAGACGATGAGGGGAGAAAGAAAGTATGTGCTGAATTTAAAGTACCCAAAAATGTTCAACTGCCTGACATCAGACATAGGATATATGAATACATCCTTTTATCAGAATTGGAAAAGACTGGGCAGAATACCAACGATGAAATAGGTATGCATCATGTTATCAGAATGGTGAAGACAAGACTGAACGTTGACATTATCTCTTCATAAATTAATGACGGCTCTATGGAATAGTCCCTCTTACTAAAATGTACTTTATCTTAATTTCTGATGATAAATTCATATTTTATACCGCTGTTGACGATACAGTAACCATACATCTCTATTGTCTTTTTCCAACATCAGTTAAGTAAAGTGTTAACTCTCACTTGCCTTTCAGAGCGAATAATGCAGGCGGCACTGAAAGCTACAGGAAGGAAGGATTTATGGGAAGAATTCAAGCATCGAAACCAGCTGAGACTTCAAGTGCTTGCAAACGAAGCAGAGAGTAAAAAACAGACAGACATTGTTCACAGACTTGACAAAATGGAAAAGATGCTGCAAACAGCAGTAGGACAGAGTTTAATAGGTAACATGGGGGGAGCAGGGATTGGACATAAAGTAGAAGGTATGATGAGGCCAGAAACCCACCAGTTTCTGAACAAACTTTGGCAACAGTTTCCTTCATCAACGGCTGATCAAATGTGAGAACTGACAAATGGTGATCATATGATGGTTCATTGTGAACTAGGGGAAAATGATCGTGCATGTGTTCAGAGTTAGGGATCAAGGTACAGTCTTGTTTTGTTGTTCCCTGTGAGTGTTCTGTACTGTTTTAAGACTTCAGTATTTCATGCAGAAAAGGAAAATAGTCTGTTCAATTGTATTGTTTCATAACAAAAAGTCCCATACAAGTATTCGCTGTTCAATAACCTCCTTAAAAGATTTCCGTTTTGTTTAAAAATATTTATTGTCGAGTATGCTTTTCACAATTTTTATAATATTACAAAGATCAGGGTGTCTGACAAAAGCAAATTTAGGATTTAGCATTTTAATTTTAAATTGATGTTATTAGGATTAACCTGATAAATATAAAGAAAGGAACACTTTATTGGAGGTTAGGACGCGGCTTTTTTAATGACAAGTACTGGGAAAAACAAAAATACAGGGTAATGGAGAAAACGTTTGGGCTGGGAAGCGCTGAACAATGCTGGCTGCCAAACTGAAGGTGAAGGACAGCACAGTAAACGTGTCTCCGAGGGTGCAATCCATACAGTCAAATGTGAAAACACATAAGGAGTCTTCGTAGGCTCCAGAACCAGCAAGATACCAAAGGGCCAAAGGGCCTTGGGGGTAGGCCTGAAATACTGTCTAGTACAGTACTAATCCCTGTCCAACAGTATTCCATTTACCACAATTTGAGTGTTGAAACATAAATTTGTTCCTGGGAATACTTGCCCAAGACTTGACATCATCCTGGAATAGGAATGAAAACAAGCAGCAATACATATTCACACGAATACAATTACAGTATCACTGAATTAATTCTAAATGCGAATAATCCTACAGAGATAGTTAATGATTATTATTAAACTTTGATCATTAGATAAAGGTCTGGACATTGTCTGTTTTAAAATGCAAGAGCATGTAGACAATAAAATACCCACTGAGTTACTCCCCTTTGAAAACTACTCGCATATATGGCTGGTGCGTAAGTCTCCCTTAGACCATTATCTGAAAATTAACGTGTATATGATTGAAATAATTGTATCTTGTTACGTATACATGCCTTGACAAACGCTCACTATATGTGTGGGTGTAAATGTCATGGGAAAACCCAACGAGGGCCACTGTACTTGGATACATTACGTTATATATGACCTCTCATGGCTTAATGGCCAATAGTGCATATATTATCGTTTACGATCGTCATTGAATGCAGATGTTCATTCTTTGGATGTTTTCATGACATTTAGTATGATATACATAGACATGTTTGTTAGTTTTCATTATATTCACAATATTGTACATGTTTAACTGCATCAATGCTCATCAATAAAGGGTTTGTTTGGTTTTAACGCCACACTGAGCAATATTTCAGTCATATCACAGCGCATGCTTATGATGTTAATCACTGGATTGTCTGGTCCAGATTCGATTATTTACAGACCGCCGTGATATAGCTGGAATATTGCTCAGTGCGGCGTTAAACAACAAACAAACAAACAAATCATATCACGGCGCTTTGTAAATACTCGAGGCTGGACCAGACAATGCAGTGATTGATATCAAGAGCATCGATTTACATAATTGGGATACGAAGACATGCATTAACCAAGTCAGCGAGCCTAACCTCCTGCTCCTGTTAGTCGCCTCTTAAGAAAAGCATTGGTTTCTTAAGATCACTTCGAAACCGGATCCCAACTTGAAGATCATGAAATATAACCGTTTTTCTTTCTTTGACGCTTTGTAGATATGAATATATCGGACACGCGTTTGTTTTTCATTACAGAATGTATTTTATATCTTTAGAAAAATTTACAACATTAAAAAGTTACTTAACATCTTGGCCCATAATGGTATTTGTCAAGCAATTATGACACAGATTCTAGTGGCTTATTTACCAAATATATTTCGAAACATTATTTGTAGTGTTACAGTCAATCAGGCATTTTAAAATGACCAAACCTTTTGTGTCATTTAGCAAAATGACTATGCCCCCTAGGCATTCAACGAAATGCTTAACGTTTTAGTCATTTGGCTACAAATCTAAATTTGAACGTCCTTCATTTGTCAAGACGACCAGGCAATCCGAATGAAGACTGTTCATGCCTTGCACTCAAACTGAGAATTGGGATGTTGTGGTGTGCACTGATCCATAACTACTAACTACTAGTATAACCTTGAACATAGGTTTCGAATTGTTAGCAAAATAACTAGGAGTGGGTATCTAAAGCGCACTTCTCTGTTATCACTTGTGTGGATAAAGGTGCATTAATATATTATGTTTCCCTCCTCTGCATTGACTTTACTTCGCGCGTATAATCTCCTACTATTCTTAAAGAAATAGCAGATAGCACCTGCATTTACTTTGCATCAATTTTGCTCTTTATCATTTTTTTTAAAGACTCTTATACACATAAACATATTATACTTTACAAAAAGGTAAAAGTTATTACGAAATAAAAGATTATTACAGAAATACAAAGAGGTATTGAGTGATGGTAATGCATGAAGAAAACAAAGGAAGGTGAAACATGATAATCAACAGAAAATGTTGGCATTATGAGGGGGAAAACAACGTGCTCTATGGAGGAAATGGTCAGTACTCTTGTATGGCATTCACGTGATGGTTTGCTACTGGAGGTCGTCAGTTAACATACGTGCATAATTGGCAAGAGCGTTTTCGTTTGCAAAAGGTTGGGGGTATTGACACACACACACACACACACACACACACACACACACACACACACACACACACTGCCATGTTTTAGAAAGGGAAAGCAACATGTCAAAATACAAAACACTACCAATGCAAGCACGTGTCGGGATTTGAAACTACATTTGAACTAATTTCGTTAACGTCAACGTCAGAAGACACGAGTGGACTTATGCGGATCCCCGCAAGGTTATATTATGTGGGTTGAGGTGTAATGGGCTTCAACGTCGCTTTCAAGATTATTATCCCCCGCCACGAAGTGGAAGGGGAATATAGGAATGGATGCCGTCCTTCCGTCCGTCCGTCACATTTCGTACCATGTTTCTTCACCAAACTTGGTACATTGATAGGTCTTGTGGTGAACTGGTGCCTTTTGATAGTTTGAGATTTAAATAAAAAATTCGAGTTTCCTTGGCAACGACTTTGATTCAGACTAAAATGGCGGTAGTCCTCGTTTCCGGAGCAGATCTTGAAAAACGTACCATATGTCTTCACCAAACTTGGCACATAGATAGGTCTAGTGGTGACCTGGTGCCTTTAGATATATATATTTTTTAAATTTCGAGTTTCCATGGCAACGACTTTGACTTAGACTGAAAATGGCGTTAGTCCTCGTTTCCGGAGCAGATCTTGAAAACCGTACCATTTTTCTTCACCACACTTGGCACATAATGTCACCTCGCAGAATTGAATACATTTCCATTCTTGTATGTAATATCTGCATTGCATGGACACGGTTGTTGCATTCACTGACTAACTTCATGAAGAAACACAACTCTTTACAAGTACAACAGTGAAACTGATCTTAAACCTACTCAACTGTATAAACACTGCCTCCTATCCTGTATATATTCTTGTCAACCATACTCTGTTCTTCACTTGCTTGATAACGGTGTTAGAACCTACACCGAAACAATCGCTCCTAATTGTAATAAAGAAGTTGTTCGTCCATATGTCTCATCCTTACTCATTACAAACACAGTTACATATTCTATCATAAATTGCAGATGGCAAAACAACACCAGTAATAACTTTTTTAGTGCTGCAATTAGGCCATTTACAAAAAGGCCCAGTGAACATAGTTCACAGGAGCTAACGCATTGCACACAACCGGACATGTCATATTGGCGGGGGATATGAGTATTTCATGCTTGTTTCACTTGTATATCGTGTGTATGTGAGTGTGTTTGGCAGCTTATATTAAACCCCGTACGTTATATATGTTTCTTTTAACACGCTCTACACAGAAACGACGTTATTCGTATAATAAAATATTAAAATCATAAACTAGATTGTCTTTTTAGTTCGAACCGCAGATTTTCATCCTGGTACACAAACATTCGAAATAAGTGTAAAATGGGGGTTGCATCTTGTTCGTGACATGCGAGACCTGCATATGTCGTGACAAAATGCTGCATGACTCTTTCGCGTACATTGGTTCAAAAGATGCTCGAGTACATTGACATCACTGACCACCAGTAATGTCAGTTTTACTGCGATCACTTTATTACAGTTCCATAACGGCATTATGGAAACGCAGCCGTTTCCTGCCTTTGAAATAGACAAGCACTTGTAATGAAATCTAATAGAGGACAGTCGGCAATATCATTTCCTCAAGAACCAGACAACATACCTACAAGTACACGTAACAGGCTTGGCCTTATGTTGATAATTCTCTAAATTTGCCAAGAGCGCGATGTAGAAACATTTCAATTAATTATAGTCTCCAAATATATACGTCTAACGGTTTTATTGTATAGAGAAGGTTAAAAGTAAAATCACCAATTTAAGTCATAATATAACGTTTTGAGTTAAAAATTATTTTATGTGATTTTTAATGCAATACTCATTCAGAAACACTGCTACAACGTAAATATATAAATATTGATCTGACAATAGTTTCCATGTTGATACGAATATAAATATTAGACATATATGATACAACTGGTTGCAATGCAACGTTGTCGCAATGTCATGCATTATGGTACAACGTTACAATTGCACAACTTATCCACAACGTTGTGATACCGTTGTGTGTTTGCTAGGCAGATTTTACATTCCACACAAAACACATCATATAAATATCAATATTGAAAAAGGGATTTCAACAACACCACCTCGGAGATTGGTTGAAGACAGGCGATAAGCATAATTACGTGCTATTGTTGTGTCAAATTAATATTGTTTATCACTTTTACTGAAACATGAAATTATATCATCAAAATTGGTGGCGGTTGTTTGTCGCAGACGTTTGGAATTTGAACCAAAACAAATTCGATTTCCGCTATCGGCAAAAGATTATCACTCCGTTATGTTGGGGATTATTTATTCGTGTCAAAATCTGCTAAGGGTCACCACTTTGCAAGGTTAACGTCACATTGTGTGCATCTGTTGAAATAGCAAAAGATAATATTGTGTGTAGACATGTTTAATTACCAAAAGTCCGTTGTCATGTGCCACAGAATGCCAACAAGCATCATGTGACCAGTAATCAGTCAGATCATCCGTCACTCTTCTGTAAGAGTATTGCCGACGTCCTGTGGAGTTACTGGGAGGACGTCGTAAGAGGGCGATCTGTAGCTCGTCCCACGCGTGTTCGATTGGGTTCTGGTGACCAGGCTGGCCACTGCATGCGGACAATGGTCTCCTTCTCTCAGTAGGCATCTACGACTGTGCCACGATGAAGTCGTGCGTTATCGCCCATGAGGATGAAGTCAGGTACGATTGCACCAACACACGGTCTCACGTACAAATCCAGATTGTCATCCCTGAAGCGCACACCTGTCATAGGGCCCACTGCAGGACATTGAGATCGCTTCTTCAAGCTCTACTGATCCCACCCCAAATAATAATTGAGCCCCATCCATATGTTCGGCAACCTTGGTAACCTAAATCTCTCTCCTTGACAACGTTACACTCGGGTCCCACGATCTGTGGTTTCGACAGTATCTTGATTCATCATTGTAAAAACCTTAAGCCTAGTCCTGGTCTGTCCAATTGACGTGTTCTTCATCAGCCCAATCCAAACGTGAAGTGAACCGGGTTAGTGGGATACGAATGCGTGCCCTCCGTGCCGGAGGCCAGCCTAACGGAGACGATTACGCACTGTCTCAGTAGAAACGTTAACGCCACTGACGTTCCGCAGGTTATTTCTGAGTATGGTGGCAGTCGATGACGTCTTGCTGCAATCTGAACAAAGCCACACTAATAGCTGAGACAATTCCTGGGTTGAGATCAATTGGTGTCGCAACCGGCTGAGGGACATCACGTCCAGCGATACGCACAATATTGTGCGTCCATGTCACCTCCAGGCACAACTAGCTTGATGTAGACAGCATTTGAGATTCAGAAGAACGTACTGGGACGGTACACTGTTCACACATGAGTCCAGGTTTCGTCAGGACAGCTCTGGTGGTCGTACACGGGTCTAGTGGCGTCCAGGAGAACGTTTTAGCGACGCTTGTTTTACTCTTCCTCGTCGGTTTCGGCGTGGAAGTGTAATGCGTGCTATTTTAGAGGGTGATATAATGATACATATTTAGTTGCCTGTTCAAGTGACTAATATTAACTATTTTGTACAGAAAGAAAATACTATTTATATACTATTTTACAGCATACGTCTTGTTCAAATGTGTGGTCCG